AGTTGGAAGTGGTTATGTAAGAAAATGATTTCCCTACACATGTTACATATTGCTGTACACGCAAACATAAGAGCAATAACTCTAAAACCGTCAGTCACAGTTATCTGTAAACTGATGACCTGTAAAGCCTTGTCAAATGTTCAAGTGCAAACAGGCCTGTGTTATTGGCAGCACATTGGAGTGGGGCCAGGCTTAAAGATTTTCACCAAAAACAGAAAACATTTTGGGAAACCTGTCATGTTTGATTATTGGAAACGAACAGAATCACAACATAACATAAAGTCAAAGCTATAAGATCTCCTAGATTGTAAACTCCAAGGAGCAGGGCCATCTAATCCCTCTTGTATTGAACTGTATTGTTGCTGTATTGTCTCCCGTTATATTGTAAAGCACTGAGCAAACTGTTGGTGCTATATAAATCCTGTATTATAATAATAATCTTAGATTGTAAGCTCCAAGCAGCAGGCCATCTAATCCCACTTGTATTGAACTGTATTTGTTACTGTATTGTCTCCCTCCATAATGTAAAGCACTGAGCAAACTGTTGGCGCTATATAAATCCTGTATATAATAATAATAATAATCTTAGATTGTAAGGTCCAAGGGTCAGGGCCATCCTAACCCTCTTGTATTGAACTGTATTGAACTGTATTGTCTCCCTTTATATTGTAAAGCGCTGAGCAAACTGTTGGAGATATATAAATCCTGTATAATAATAATAATCTTAGATTGTAAACTCCAAGGAGCAGGGCCATCTAATCCCTCTTGTATTGAACTGTATTGTTACTGTACTGTCTCCCTCCATAATGTAAAGCACTGAGCAAACTGTTGGCGCTATATAAATCCTGTATAATAATAATAATAATCTTAGATTGTAAGCTCCAAGGGTCAGGGCCCTTCTATCCCTCTTGTATTGAACTGTATTGTTGCTGTATTGTCTCCTGTTATATTGTAAAGCGCTGAGCAAACTGTTGGAGATATATAAATCCTGTATAATAATAATAATCTTAGATTGTAAGCTCCAAGGAGCAGGGCCCTCCTAACCCTCTTGTATTGAACTGTATTGAACTGTATTGTCTCCTGTTATATTGTAAAGCGCTGAGCAAACTGTTGGCGCTATATAAATCCTGTATAATAATAATAAGGAGAAGAAGAAGAAGATGATGATGAAAATTGCCTTCTGCAACCTGAGTTGTTCTCTACCTCGGTGACCTGACGTTTCTCCAGTCACCAGTAGGTGGCGCTGTACATTTGTGTCTACCTTCTAGGGAAGGAGGATGTTGTGATGACAGCAGGAAGAGGTCGGAGGGACAATACGAATGTACGATCGATCCATATGGAACAGAGGAGTGCAGTACATGTGATCAGACAAGGCTGCCCTTACCATGTGATATAACATAGCACTGCTGACAAAAGACACATCACAGGAGAAACTGGAGGTACAGTAAGTATTGATTCCAAGTGATCTGCAATGTCTGACAGCAGCTGCAGGAAGTCATAGATCACCCACATTTGTATGGACACAAATTCCCATGTAGTTTTATTTCACAAATTCCTCTTTTAGGGTGATCATAAAAAGACAATCGATTTCATTGGTGATCAGAACACGATTTCATGTGTCAGTGTATTTGATTTCCTAGCAATTGTTTACATACTGAAACCATCATGTATTACAGTTGGTTTGAAAGGATATGCTCTATTCAATGAAAACATCTGTAATATGGAATGATCGTAGTGGTATGTCATTTGCCAGCATTTGATCTGTTGTGTGAATTATCAGGTGAACCCAAACAAAGACAAAAGCAATGTAAATACAATGATATATTTAGGCGGGCCCAGTGGGGTAATTAGGTTTTGTGCTGCCCTAGGCAACACAAAAGTCGTCTGCCCCCATGGACACTGACCAACACCCCTCCCTTCCTCCTCCCACGGAGAGAGAATGACATTGACCAACAACACCCCTTCCTCCCACCCAGGAGAGAGCCTTCTACTACCCCCCGCCTCGCGATAGAGAGACACTCATCTTCACAGCTCCGGACATCCCCGGGAAGGAGACTCAGACTCTACATACACCATCAAGCAGCCCCCCACAGCCTCTCTCGGATCCCACCTGGTTCAGTTGGTGCACATGTCCCTACTTTTCTCCCTTCTTCTGGGGGGAGGTGCTGCCCCCCTGAAAAATGCCGCCCTAGGCAAGTGCATTGTTTGCCTTGTGGTAAATACGCCCCTGGGCGGGCCATAGGTGTATCAAAATTTGGCCAGTTCAGCAGGAAACGGCTGAATTTCGATATATCTATGGGCAGGCTGGTTGTACTGAAGTAGATCTATCGATCAGCTTCAGTACAACCAGGCTGTTGCGTTTTTTTCATACAATTACTGCCGCTGGCTGCAGTGGCCAGCAGTAAACATATTCTTGGAATGGGGAAACCTCCTGCTATCAGAATGCAATAACACAGCGGAAGGGATTCCCCCATCAATGTGTTGGTGAGGGAATCAACCAATTTTCTTTACTTCTACCCTTGGTTGAAGGAAAGAAAATTGCATCATCTATGGCCAGCCTTAGGCCCCTTTCACACAGGGCAGACTCTGAATCAGCAGGGGATCTGTCTGCTGATCAGAGCAGAGCGGGAGGATGACAGGTCAGTGTCCAGTCAGTTTATGCATAATGCACATGGACAGAGCCTGCTCTGCTCGCTGGGTGGCTGGGAGTAAACAAACTCCGCTGTCTGTTTACACCCAACTGCCCTCTGATTCGAACTGCAGACATGGAGGGGCATGGATCCCCTTCTGTTTTTTTTTTTAATGGACCAGATTGGATTGGAGGTAGGCAGGTGTAACCGTGGACACAAGTCCTTTTACACCTGCCAGTCCATAGGGGTAAATGGAGGATCTGATCAAGTTCCCCTGAAAAACTGACAGGTGGACCTGGTTAAACGAACTCTTTGTGTGAAAGAGACCTTTTTAGGCCCGTTTCAGAGGGTGCGGACCGATCAACAGATCAGCTTGCTCAGCGGGCGATCTCTCCGCTGATCCACACTGAGCAGGCGGATGACAGGTCTATATCTTCTCCACTGCTGCTGAACAGACACAGCCGCTGTCTTCTATGGGGGGGCGGTTGGATGGAAATGGACTGCTTGTCTGTTTCCACCAGACTGCCTTATGATTCGATCTGCTGGATGGAAGGGAAACAGATCCCTGTCCATCTGTTTTTGGTGTACATGATCGGATGGGATGTGGATCCATAGAGGTCTATGGATGGTCCAATCAGGTCCTCCTGAGAAACTGACAGATGGACACGATCGGACAGTAAGTGTGAAAAGGGCCTTAACCACAAGTACACACTTGTATCCATTAAATAATCTGTGGAGCACCCTGCCAAGGAAATATATTTAATTTGCATATACGGTTGCCTAGTAATTCAACAAGACTATGTATTTGTAGTAACCAGTTTTAAAGTGTTACTAAACTTAGGACCCTGCATTCACTCACTCTATCTGGTCTCCCACAGTAGACAGAACATGGAAATGCAATTTTTTTAGTAAATATAAACGGCTAAATACCTTTTCTTATCAGCAGTTAGAGCAGTCTTGTGACTTCTATCAGTGTCCAGCAGAGTACTAGTTAAAACATGTAGGAGTTTTCATTCTCCCTGGTTGTCCTATGAGGCTGCATAACCCCTGACCCTCGGGCTGGACAGTGCTGATTGGCCCCGTGCTGATCACATGCACTCTCCCCCCAAAAAAGCAAAAAAAAACTCTAGCAATACACACCAAATTGAGCATGTGCAGTTTGCCCCCAGGGCTCTGTTCTATCAGATGGATTAAGGACAGTAGAAGAAGGGGAGGATCAGAGGACGCAGGATCAAACATCCTTTTTACAGTATAACAAGTACGCTTTACTGCATATACAGACTTATTTTACTGTTTTTGGTTTAGTAACACTTTACCAGTAAGGATGATGTCAGATGGACCACTCTACTAATTGCAAATTATCAAAATAGCCAGCCACACAGTTGCTAAGAAGCTGCTTGTTTGTCTCTATAGAACTCCATCTGTAGTTGAGGCAGCGAGATGTCTCTCCCATCAGTAGTGATTGAGATTATGCAGAAATAAGTATTATTATTATTATTATACAGTATTTATATAGCGTCAAAAAGTTTGCTCAGCGCTGTACATTATAGTGGGGGACAGTACATGAGACAATACAGTAACAATACAATACACGAGGGGTTCGAGGGCCCTGCTCCTTGGAGCTTACAATCTAGGAGGGAGGGGATAGTGGTACAGGAGGAAAGTATGAGCTTGTATGTTCAGATACTAGTCCGAACCTGTCTGGGCTATCCCACCAGGAAGCTGTCATTTCGGACCACCAATCATAATTGGCCGAGACATTCCCACCCCACATTCACAGAGGACATGTCTGTGGAGTGGGAAATGCCTCAACTGCTTATGATTGGCAGTCCACAGTGACAGCTGCCTGGCAGGATAGCCTGGATGAGTTCAGACTAGTATCCGAACACGTCATAGCTCATCCCTCATCAGAAACTGTGCAACATCTGGCTGCATTTGGCTACAGAAGGACAGGCAGGCAACCCTTTTAGCAATCCTGCTGATGTCTCTAGCTGCAGAATCTGACATCAGCCTAGTGATGAAAGTAGTATGAAACCTACAATTACGGTACCAATACAACATGCCTAGCAATTTGTAGTAAAAAGCAGCCAATATAAAGTATGTTTTATATGTGATTAGCGCTCTGGTTGAAATTGCCTTTAAAGCATTTCTAAAGTCATTTTTTTTTTCAATTTAAATAATAAACATGTTAACCTTACCTGCTCTATACACTGGTTTTGCACAGATCATCCCCGAACCTGCTCTTCTCTGGTTCCCTATTGACGATCTTGGCTTCTCCTCTGCTGTGTCTGCCACCATGGACATGATTGACCTATAACACAACCTCCCTTGTATTAATAGGATGCTTCTAATCTTCCAAAGTAGAGCAAAATGGAAAGAAAGCATCAAGTCGGCAGGAAGAATGGCAGCTGGAATTGTCTTCTTCTTCTCATGATCCTACTTATCTTCACTGTGGTGTGCATCAACCTAGTGCTCTATGTGTACCTGGAGCATGTCTACGTGTCAACTGGATTCAGTCACGGGGATCCCAATGTCTGTCCTCAAGGGTACTTCAAGATCGGAGCAATGAAGAACTGCTCTCCTTGGTTGACCTGTGAGGCCCTTGAAAAGGAGGTCCGCAAGTTAAAACTTGTTGGAGAAGGAGCAGTAAAAAAGGTATTTTATATATTTGTAAATACAGATATAAATGTAAAAAAAAAAACACAATTGCATGTATTAACCATTTGAATCCTGGGTGCTGGTTTTACCCAGCTCAGGGATTGTAGTTGTTTGTTTCAGTGCCACTTTAAAACCAGTCATGGTGGCTGTGCCAGTGGGTGTTAACACTGGAACCATTGGTTCAACATAACAGCTAAACAACTGGTACTTTCAGAAGGAACAGCATCCATGTTCCATCAGACCAGGTTTTACTGAATTTCTGGTTGCTTAGTCACATCCCCTCCCCCTGGTATATTGCTTCTGCTCAGTTTTTTTTTTTTTTTTTTCAAGCCCAGCGCCAACTTTTGTGATTACCCCCCCTTAATTTTTTTTTTTTAAGTTCACATTATATATAAATTAAAGTAGTATGTAACACAGTAAGCACAATAAAATAAACATCCTTAAAGCGGAGTTCCACTCACCATGTCAAAAAATAAAAGTCAGCAGCTACAAAAATTGTAGCTGCTGACTTTTAACCTCCCTAGCGGTCTGATTATGTCAGTATTTCTGTGCTCAAAGCGGTACATTTTTTTGCATGGAAATATGTATTTTTTTTATTGTAGGCCTGTCATTTTTAGGAATAACTCACTGAAATCTGTCTGAACAAGATATCATAAAAAGCATAGTGTATAAATATTGTGTATTAACAATCATTGTGACAGTTTATAGCACATGAAAACAATAAATAATTATGATAATTAAACTGTGATCAATCATGCAAATAAAGTGCAAAAAAAGTCACACTAAAGCACAAACAAAAAAATAAAAAATGTGTAAACAAATGTCCAATAGGTGGGTGACACCACTACTGCAATTGCAAGCACACGTGATCATAAAGTGACTCCAGGTGCAGAAACTCCAACACACGGCTAGATTAGCCTCTCACCTCCAGGCTTCGACCCGTGAAGGTCAAAGCGTATAGTGGGATCAAACCCTCAAATCCTCTCAGCATCTACTGATATCCACTGATCCACTTTCCCCATCCATAGATATCCTTCTCTAGGGGTCTATGATCAAGCAGTGGCTCCTCTCTTATATTTACTGCTGATGTTTGCTGAGTCACAGACCTTGAATACTGCCAAAGGTGCAAGGACACTGCAGTCTTTTCAGCATGCTGCAGAACTTTCTGTGGAGGCTGCACACAGGGTTCAAGCAACAGGGTTGCTTGAACCCTGTGTGCAGCCTCCACAGAAAGTTCTGCAGCATGCTGAAAAGACTGCAGTGTCCTTGCACCTTTGGCAGTATTCAAGGTCTGTGACTCAGCAAAAATCAGCAGTAAATATAAGAGAGGAGCCACTGCTTGATCATAGACCCCTAGAGAAGGATATCTATGGATGGGGAAAGTGGATCAGTGGATATCAGTAGATGCTGAGAGGATTTGAGGGTTTGATCCCACTATACGCTTTGACCTTCACGGGTCGAAGCCTGGAGGTGAGAGGCTAATCTAGCCGTGTGTTGGAGTTTCTGCACCTGGAGTCACTTTATGATCACGTGTGCTTGCAATTGCAGTAGTGGTGTCACCCACCTATTGGACATTTGTTTACACATTTTTTATTTTTTTGTTTGTGCTTTAGTGTGACTTTTTTTGCACTTTATTTGCATGATTGATCACAGTTTAATTATCATAATTATTTATTGTTTTCATGTGCTATAAACTGTCACAATGATTGTTAATACACAATATTTATACACTATGCTTTTTATGATATTAGTTTAATATATATTTTCTGATCACTATGACCACTTGATTATTATATCTCACGAAGTGTATTGTATGTGTTATATATATTTTTTTGATTAGTAATTTTTAGTTTTATGAGTAGCGCCACATTTTTTGATTTTTATTTCTGTTGATCATGGGTATATGATGTAGTGTTGGCGGCTTCTCTCTTAAGTTGATTGAATATTATTGTTTGGGGGTTTAGTAGTGTGGGAGGTTAACACCATCCCTGTTAGTTCATATTTTTTCAGTAGCGCAGGAGGTTCACACTATTCCTGTCTGAACAAGAGTCTAGTAAACATCCCGGGTATGATAAAATTTGAAACACAAAATCATAAATTATAATTTAATAAATAATCATAAAAAATAATAATAATATAATAATAAATGTAATTCAATAATATAATCAAACCAAATAAACTGATATTTGAAATATAGCGCCAAGTTCGCAGATCACTGAGCAAAGTCGCAGAATCATTTTCAGTGTCTGATGACGAATTTCCCCACGAATCATTATCACTCAATTCTGCAAGTGGTTCTGATTTACTATCGCTGTTCTCTAGCTGGTCTAAAAACGCTTTTGACCTAAAGGGACGCTTTTTGGACGCCATGGACATTTCTCAGTTTCCAGGCAGAAAGAACAGTAAAAATGCAGGCAGGGCACAGGACAAAGCACTCGGGACAAAATGTATGTGAAATGGGTTGATACAGTAATGTTATACTGTGTGATTTTAGTGTATTGAGTGAATGTCACTTTTTGACATTTTTTTCCCGCCGGTTACATCCCCTGTACGTCCTGACGCTGCAGGGAACGGAACCCAGAAGACAGATGCCGGCATTGGCCGGAGGAGATGGCCGGGGACACTGCAGGGGGGACATCGCGGGAGCGAAGGACAAGGTAAGTGCAGAAGGGATCCTGAAGCAGCGCCGCATGGTAAGCCTGAGTGTAGCTCGGGGTTACCACTTGTGGTGCTGAAACTTTACCCCGAGCTACACTCGGGAATACCGCCAGGGAGGTTAAAAAAACAGCCACTTACCTGTCTATCGGTTCTGTGGTGTGTCAGTATTCCAGGAGGCCAGCATCTTCAGTGTGGGCATTCGGCTGTGTCAGCTTGCTGCTTCACAGCTGGGTACCCACTGCGCATGCGCATGTCGCGGTGCGCTTCATGAATGGTCCTGTAATCTTCTGGGACCTGTCACGTGTCCCAAAAGACTAGAGGGGTTGAGGACACCTAGGCGAGAGGACCGGAAGTGGGAGTAGGTACCTGTCAAATTCGGGTACCCGCTCCCCCACCCACCCCCCAAAAGAGCCAATCCTTAATGGGGAGTGGGAGAGCAGTCCTTAAACGGAACTTCCCCTTTTGGGTGGAGCTCCGATTTAAGTGAACAATTTATTAACTACTTCAATACTGGACACTTCCTGCCCAAGCCAATTTTCAGCTTTCAGCGGTGTCACATTTTGAATGACAATTCATTCAACACTGTAGTCAAATTAAATTTTTATCATTTTTTCACACAAGTAGAGATTTCTTTTGGTGGTATTTAATCACTTCTGGGGGTTTTTTTTGTTTGTTTTGTTTTTTGCCAAATAAACAAAAAAAGACTGAAAATTTAGAAAAAAAACCCATGTCTCTCTTTGTTTCTGTTATAAAGGTTTGCAAATAAATAATCTTTCTTCATAAATTTAGGCTGAAATGTATACTGCTACTTTTCTTTGATGAAAATAACCCAAATCAGTGTTTATTATTTAGTCTGTAGAAAAGTTCACAAATTATGGTGTATTTATATCTGAAATTTCTTGAGTCCAATGTATTTAGCAAGAGGCATGGTGCGTTTTTTGAAGTTGCAATTTTATGTCACAATTTTTTGGATAATGAAGAGATTAAAAAAAAGTTTTTTTCACATTTTTTTTCTTTTACATACTATCAACAGTGCAGTACGCATCGATCAGGGACACTGACTACTGACAATATGTAAAAAAAAAATATTATAATAATTTTTGTTTTTATTTTTTGTGACCAGAGCAATACATTGTTACCATAGTGACACTGTACTACTCTAGGGAGGTGATCAGGATTTTTTTCTAAACACTGATTACTTATAATAGTGATAATCACTGTTATAAGCAACCATTTTTTCAGAATAAAATCCATTCATTCAGTGTGTACTATTGTGATTAGCTGTGATTGGCCACAGCTAATCACATGGTACATTCAGGCTGAGTTTAGCTCTGTCTGTACCATGTGATCAGCGTGACCAATCACAGAGATCAACACAATAGTACACAATAAATAGAATGAATGGAAGCCATCCATTGTGTACAATTTTCATGTGATCTACTGTGATTGGTCACAGCTATCACATAGTACTAGCAGCGGGCCAGTATACTGATCTGTCATCCCCTGTGTCCAGTGGACATAGCGGGTGTCAGATCGAGCTACATCATGGCCCAATCCTGGAAGGATGTCATATGATGTCCATCCAGGATGGGAGAGCTCCAGCTTGGCCGCCATATTACGAAAGGGTGGGCGGGAAGCGGTTAAAATTCTTACTCTAACACTTGCAGTTTATAGCTTTCAGTGCTGTCTCCCTGAACTACCTGTCTTCACAGGCAAGTTAACTGTGGACAGTGCAGTCTCTGGTCAGCCTGTTTTCTTGGAGAAGCAGGGGAGTGCTTTGCTATACTAGGCTATAGGGATGTGAGTTTCTATTGATGTACACAGTGTAAGACACAACTCTAGTTCCTGCATGTAAGTGGAAGAGAAAAGGCTTGAAAAATGCTAATGCAGTCACAACATCTAATGACTGATCAGATGCACTATATTACATTTTTGTTTTTGAGCTTAATTCTGCTTTAAAGCAGTATTGAACCCAAAAGCAAACATTTATTATATTGTAGCCTGACAATTCTTAGATGTGATGGCTGTCTTAGTTTTCTTGTTTCGGCTCTCTTCAATAAGTCTGTTGTTCTTCAACAGAACAAGCGGTCTTGCAGATGTAGCTGTTAGAGGGAAAAGACTTTTATTTATGTCAAATCTTTATTCCAAAAGAAACTGTTGCTGTAACTGATTGTGTAACTGCAGTGTGAGCTGGAGTTTGGGTTCAATTTGTTAGTGTATCTAAATCTGCTAGTACATCTAACACTCTCCTCCCCCCAGTCTGACAATGCTGATGTGCAAAGGTCTCCCCTGTGCTCCTTCATCCATGGTGTTACTGGCCAGATCACCAGGGGAAAATATAGGGGAAAAGCTTAAAAAAGAAAACTAATGCAGCCACAACATCTAATGATTAGTAAGCCATGATATATTACATTGTTGGTTTTGGTTTAATACCGCTTTAAGCTTGTCACATGTTAAAACTGGTTATTTGCGTTCTTCTGTAATATCGCTTTGTAGTTCCACATACTGTCCAAGTCATCTCTTTGTTGATGAGACCTAATGAGCTGAAACAGTCCTAGTACAAGTAACATGTTGATTTTATATTTTAGGTATACCTGTCTGAATGGAAAGAAATGAAGGTAGCTCTGTCCCAGCTAACAGTTCCGTCTCTGCAAGCTGATTTTCTTCATGGTTTGCGAATGCTAAAGTCCCTACAGAGCAGACATGTAGTTACACTTGTGGGTTACTGTGAGGATAATAGTATATTAACAGAGTATCATCCATTGGGATCCCTAAAAAATTTGGATGCTACCTTTAACCTCCCAAAATACCAGTACCTAAATACCTGGCAAAATCGTCTGGAACTTGCCATAGACTACGTGAGTATAATCTGTTACCTTCATAGTAGTCCTCTTGGTGTACTGGTCATGTGTGATTCCAATGACTTGGACAAGGTGCTCTCTCAGTACCTGCTAACAAGTGACTTTCACCTAGTGGCAAATGATTTAGATGCCTTACCTTTAGTGGATAGAGAGAATGGAAGGTTGGTCAAGTGTGGCCCAAGAGAAATTACTGGGGATTTTGTTGCTCCTGAACAGCTTTGGCCTTATGGACTAGATGTTGAGTTCAATGATGACCTAATGCCACCGTACGATGAGAAGACTGACATCTGGAAGATTCCAGCAGTGACTGATTATCTCTTGGGTCATGTTGAGGGAAGTGACATTGTCCGGTTCCATCTGTTTGACATTCACACAGAGTGTAAGAAAGAGAACCCAGCTATGAGACCTTCTGCTCAGACCATACTGGATACTTATAGGAGAGTCCTGGCTTTGCTTCTGAAGGAGCTGTCAAATTCAAAAGAAATGTTATAAAAAACATATTTACTTTACTGTTACACTGGACATATTTAGGCGTTTTATTCTACAGCTGTGTCACATTGACTTCTTTCATACCTCCGTCAACCTTTGCTTTATAATTTGGTGGTGTTCAGGATCTTATAAATAACTAGGTGATATTATTGCAGCTTAGGCTGACCATACATGATTCATGTTTTTTTCATTCAGCTAGCCGGTTTGAATGGAAAAAAAATTAGCTGATTTCCCCATCCACGCATTTGATGTGCATAGGGGAATTATTTCCAGGCCTTCCCCGCCATCAAAATATAATGACCAGTGTTTCCAGCTATAGCTGGCAGCACTGATTGTTCAGGAAAAAACAGGCAGGCTGGTTGTGCACAAGTTGATCGGTAGATCCAGTATAACCAGCCTGCCCATACGGGGATCAAAATTCAGCTGGTCCTTGCTAAACTGGCCAAATTTCAATCCATGTATGGGCAGCCTTACTATACCCTGTTCCAACAAGGTAAGAAAGGTGTTTTTGTACTGATTCTGAGATTTATATGTATTACCGTGAACAATGTGATCATTTTGTAGACTAAATCAGGCCATAGATGGATCGAAATTGGGTTGGTTCAACAGGGACTGGATGAATTTCAATCTATGTATGAGCAGGCTGATTGTACTGAAGTCTATTGATGGATTGACTTCAGTATAACCAACCTGTCATTTTTTTCTAGTTTGATAACTACCAGCGGCTATAGTACCTGTCAGTGATCATTGTATTCTGACAGCTGTGAAACCTCTCGCTGTCAGAACACGTCTCTGCAGGAGGGATTCCCCATCAACTCTGAATGTGTTGATGGGGTTATTGAGCCGTTTTCTTTACTGCAACCTCTGTTTGCAGAAAAGAAAATTGCTTAATGTATGGCTTGCTTCAGGCTGACCGTACACTATACAAACTGTTTGTGAAATCGCATTCAGATCTACAATAAACTATGTTTTGCAAAGGCCTGCCTGCTTTGATAACTGACTGTATACTAAAGGATACGTTCACCTTTTCATAAAAAATAATAAATGCATGTTTTTTTGCAGATAGATAAAAAAAAATGTGCATTTATTATTTTTGTCTGCAAGAGCCTTCAAAGCACCAGCAGATCGCTGGTATCATGCAGGTCTCCTGCAGATCTGACAGTATATCTGCTTGCCCATACGGGAAATATGAGCAAGCAGATATACTGACAGGAAGAGTAAATGAACTACCACAGCTCCGTGGTAGTTCATTGAGGACTACAAACTGACAGCCACTAAGGCTGTCGGGACTTGTAGTCTCTCATTCACATAGAACTGTGAATGAGTGATGCGACCGGGTGAGCGAGAAGATCCCTTGCTAGCTGTCTAAGCGGGGGGAGCTGGGGCTGGGCTGATCGTAATATGTTACTCTCCTGAATATGAGTGTAATATGTAACATGTTACAAAAGATGAACTTATCCTTTAAGTTTCCGCCTAATATTACATAATTTTGGTACATCTAAAGTAGATTGTACATAGATTGCACAATCAGATTGTATATTGTATGGCAATCTATGGGGCCTGGTGATCTTGTTGCCAGCAAATAGATTGTTAAAGAGAACACCCATCTGTTTCTAAGTCATCACATCATGCAAAATGCTGCTGAATTTCACTTCCCAGTGAAGAAGCAACACCTTTCCTGTTTAGCTAGTAAGAGAGTGATGCCATAGCAGCCGGTAGCTGTTCTCTCTGTTCTTTTAAGGATCTTGTTGCTGGCAACTTGCTGCCAGATACCAGATCACCACTGTGACATGGGACAATGCAGTATGTTGTTATTTTCATTGAATAGAACCATGGTGTTTCTCAGGGTTGCACATTTTCCACATGTCAGCTAGTTATGATGCTTAAATGTTCAGCTAGGCCTAGGGTTTAGCCTTAGCCTGTTTTTTTAATGCAGTTTCTCTTGTTTGTAAATTGAAGCACAATTCCTTGGCTCTTTAGAGGGAATTTGTCAGGATAACTTAATGGGTGTTGTCATTGCTGATTAGTTTTCAAAAATTCAAGCTCAAGAGTTAATAAATCAATTAGATAGGGGCGTGGACTCATGCACTGCCAAATATCCTTTCAGAAAATGAAGTAGCTGCTAACACCTGGCTATGATATGATGAAAAGCAAATTGGTAGAAAAATGGTGTAGTGCTGTGATAAATTAAATTAACTGATGCCAAACCATACTATTGTGAATAAATATAGATAATGTGACCCTGTGTATAATCAATATACTTAATTACAGATATATAAAGTGTAACAATCCAAAAAGTTGATAATGATTGCAATCAAAGTGACCAAATTATACACCGTGACATTAATAAATTACAAAAAGTCCCAAGTGTAAAAATAAAAAATATGCATATAAAATAAAAATAAATAAAACAAATCCAGATTTTCAATCCTTCAACTTTTATATTGCGTGCTCATATAAATGGTGCTGATCTATCCGTCACCTTCTGGCGTGTGCCCTCGCCTCACAAATTTGACCCTCAAGGAGTCATAAAGCAATTAATATCATCGGATGATCCCAGGCAGGATGGATCTCTCCCTCTGATTGGACACAGGAACAGCTCCCACCGAAAAATAAAAAAAAAATGGTCAAAAACACCTTTAGGGGATCTTCAATGGCTCAAAGAGAAGTCAGAAAGAGAACTTCCATAGTGTAATAATTTTGTATTTATTGGTAAAAAATCACAATGCCAAGAGGCTACTCACAATAAAAACGAGGGTCACAGACTCATCAGGCGTGTACTGTGTACATACAAGGAGTCCCAAGATGGCGATTGCCGTCCATACGGAATGATGTCACCACGCTCTAGTTCGACATGTTGTGTCACGCTACCATGTGACTTCTTCAGGGCTAACCTCTTGGCATTGTGATTTTTACCAATAAATGCTAAATTATTACACTATGGAAGTTCTCTTTCTGACTTCTCTTTGAGCCATTGAAGATCCCATAAAGGTGTTTTTGACCATTTTTTTTATTTCGGTAGGAGCTGTTCCTGTCAGTCAGAGGGAGAGATCCATCCTGCCTGGGATCATCCGGTGATATTAATTACTTTATGACTGCTTGAGGTTTAAATTTGTGAGGTGAGCGCACACGCCAGAAGGTGACAGATCGGCACCATTTATATGAACACTCAATATTAAGTTGAAGAATTGAAAATCTGGATATTTTTTATTTATTTTTTTATGCATATTTTTTATTTTTACACTTGGGACTTTTTGTAATTTATTAATGTCACGGTGTATAATTTGGTCACTTTGATTGCAATTATTATCAACTTTTTGGATTATGTTACACTTTATATATCTGTAATTAAGTATATTGATTATACACGGGGTCACATTATATTTATTCACAATATTATGGTTTGGCATCATTTAATTTAATTTATCACAGCACACACAGCGCTACACAAGGCTCAAGAGTTGCCATCCTTAAAGCATAACTAAAGGCAAAACGTTAGTGGGATTAGAACACCTGACAGGTTTTTATTGCTTTCTGTGTCCCCATTAGGGAGATTCCCCCTGTCCTGTTTATTATCATCAAGAGTAAAAGAAATTTCCAAATTTTGAGTGGTCAACAGGACAGGAATAGAAGATAAATCTTTCAATGGTGACTACCAGGGATTTTCTCCTTTCCTGTTATGATAACGGGACAAGAAGTGAAGGGAAATCTCCCCAGTGAGATTCAAATGGCAAAAAAGCCTGATAGGAGTGTGAGAATCATCAACGCTTCCATGTTTATTCTTCACAGGGGAGATCGGGCAATGGATGTTCCTCCATCACTATGGGAAGCCATCCCTGGAGGAACAGGAGGGCCCGGGAACCACCACGTGGGGGTGTTGCTTGCAGCCCTTTCCAATGCTGTAAATGTTATCGGTTTTATCTGACAGCCAATTACTGCCTATAAAACCTGGAGAAGTGGTACCAGCATCAAGACTGCAGCAACAGCCATGATCCTGGTATATCCACTTTCTGTCAGGGCATTTTAATCACTTCGTGCCGACTCCTCCCGGCCCTTTAAGAGTTTCAGAAGCCGGGAGGCGGGCAGGGTTTTAGGGTCATGTGACCATCGTGATTCGCCGGTCACATGATCGCAAAAGGTCCCGATCGAAAGGGGAGATCTGGACCATACCGTGAGTCAGGGATATATGCGTGCGCTCTCAGCACATATGTATTTTCTAATGGCATGCAAATATGCGGCCGCTCAACGTCAAGGCCCAGATGCCGGGAGGCCGCATATTTGCATGCGCTTGGCGTCAAGGGGTTAATACATATGTCAGAAAGCAAGTGGTTAAGCTGACCATACACTAGTAAAAGTTTGTTTGAAAGTTTCTATTCGTTAGTGGGTCAAATCAATTGCACTGAAGAGTAAATTTGAAGGAGCAGGATGGATTTTTTTTTTTCTCAAACAAATTGATATCTAACATAGTTACATAGTCTACCTGAAAAAAGAGAAAAGTCCATCCAGTTCAACCATTAAAAAAAAAAGTTTTAATCCTACACCCACAGTTGATCCAGAGGAAGGCAAAAAAACCCAGAAAAGCATGATCCAATTTGCTGCTGCAGGGAAACAGTGAATATAGTTTGAGTTTGGTAATGCCCATTCAATCCAAAATCAAATAGCAACTTAAAAGCAAATGTTTTTGAAGTACTTTCAATTTACATTCATCATGTCATTAAATATACTAATGAGAATCTGCTAGTGTGTGGCCAGCTTTAGTCTATCCAAAAAAGAAAACAAAATTGCCTTCAGTTCTACTTTAACCTTTGGCATGACTGTTTAGTGGAACATGTATGTGCATGTAAGGGCTTCCAACACCTATTTCATGTTTATTCTAGGTCAGCAATTACAGTTTCTGTATTTCTATTCCGACAGGTTTCTTAAGGTGCTGCAATGTCAGTCTGTCTGCTTCAGGGTGGAGATGCTAAACCAAATGCACAAGTAAAATAAAAGCATACATTTGA